GGCCCATGTCTCAAAATGGCTGCCCTTGTCAGGCACCTGGAGGCTGCCAGCTCCAGGCCCTTAAAGTGGCAGGCACACACAGTGCACTGCCACAGGTTACAGTGGATTAGTTTGATTTCTCTGTCTCTCTGTCTCCCTCTCCATTTTTCACTAGAGTTCATACTGGATGACTTGTGGTGAATACTCAGGCACAGCTGGAGACTCCTTTACTGGGGGGTTTCACCCTGAAGTGAAATGGTGGGCTGATCACCGAGGAATGAAATTCAGTACACGAGACAGAGATAATGACAACTATGAAGGGAACTGCGCTGAAGAGGATAAATCTGGCTGGTGGTTTAACAGGTCAGATGTTTCATGAGAATACTAATATTAGTAATTAGGATATTGCCATAGGATTATCTGTGAGGTATGAACACATGATATGAGCTAGAATTATTATCATTTATTGTATTTGAAAACTGTTGCTGATGCTATCATAGATGGTTCAGCACTGGCCTATGCGTCTCTGGCTGACCACAGAAGAAACATTTGACCTGACAGCCCTCTACCACACTATCTCCAGCTGCCATTGGTCTGACTATTTCCTCTGTGCTGGGGTCTGTCAGAGCTGATTTGGATTAGTGCCTCGACACAGTGGAACTTTCCAGCACAAGGCACGGTAAGGCAGGGGAAGTCTCGGCATGGTGAAGAGTTCCGGCGTGGATAGAGTTCCCGCCGAGGAAATGCAGGTTTGCATAACACAATTGGCTGATGTTAAATTATTCCCACGTGGCGGCTGGCAATTGGCTCGCTAGCCGTATAAAAGGTTAGGGGCGTTTCCGCCCTAGTTGGAGAACTCTGCGATTCCCCCTGGAGTGGAACTCCGGCAGCTTGATCACCTGCCAACGACTCCCCGTCGGCGAAGCCTTGCGACGTATCCTCTGTGTTGCATGCCCGAGTTAGACCCGAGCTACCTGGTCTACAAGAGGTCCTCGATTAGCGACTAGAGATTAGAATTGTTGCAACTACGATTGCCTGCGCTGTATACGACTCTACTGTGTAAGTAAAGCCATCTCTGTTTTTCCAATTGATACGTGTCTCGTCTGTGCCTAATTCCGCTCCGGTGATAGAGAGTACCCATCTGCCCGCCACGGGATCGCAGCCGCAACCCCAGCTAGCATTCCTGAGGGCTCCTGATCCTCGATTCCCCCTCGGCCCCCACAGGGTCTACATTTCAAATTCTCTCTGTTTTACAACTACCAGAAGCAGACATTTCTACAATGTCCTGTGGCAGGACACCTTTGGTGCCTGCCATTTTAAGAGGTCTGAGCAGGCTGTGATGCAGCCAGCAGGTGCGATGCAGTCTAACGAGGCAGTCACACTACCATGGGAGGGCTCCTGGATTGGAGGATGGGGCTGAGCCAGCCTCGGAATAAACTCTGGCCCTCTGAGCTGAGCTGGCAGTTGCTGCCGGGCTGCTGCCAGAGTAACATCGCCCAGCTGGAGCTGCTGCTCCCAGAACACCTGGAGGTTAAGGGTAGGATCTATGGGGATGAAGAAAGCTCCTGGTCCTGGGGAATGACCTAAAACTACACCCTGCTAGGGTTGGATGGTGTGGTGGGGCTGCCTGTGGCAGGGTTGTCCCAAGGAAATGCCACACCAATACCTCCCTAGTGAAAGGCGAGAATGGGGCGCCATATAGCCTCAGCCCCTATGACCTGGTGAGTTATCCCGTAGAGGGGACAGGCAAGGGGTGCAGGCAGGTCATCAGGCCTGGGATCCAAGGGATGTAAGGTCAAGAGCCCCAGTGAGGGGGTGGAGTAGTAGGCCCAGTGAGGGCGTGTGAGAAGGCTGTGTACAGTAGGGTCCGCATGGGTAGGCCTGAAGAACTGCACATGAGCCTGCCTTAGAGATTAAGTGAACTGGGTTTGGAGGTACCCGAGAAGATGGACCTGTATGAGAGAGAGAGGGTGAGTGGCTCAATAACCTGATCAGAGAAACCCTCAACTGCTCAATGCTGGGGCCAGGACCAGACCTGTCCAAGGGCCAGAGCGCCCACCGCTGGCCTAGAAGTGAGGCCAGGACTTGTGTGGCCAAAGGTCCTGGAGGGGCCACTGCCAGGAGAGAAAAGGGTTTAGGGAGTTTTGCAGCGCAGTATGAGGGCAGAGATTAGACTGCCTGAGGAGGAGGGATCCAGGTGGTGTCTGAACATCAGGCGGGCATAGAATGAAGTCCATTGCGGGGCCAGAGCCACATAGTGATGCCATGTGTGAGGCATGGGACACAGTATAAGGAGAAGTTCAGAGATGTGTATGTGACCTTGGCATCGGGCAGTAAATGGGCAGCCTCCCGCCTTGCAAACATTTACTAATTAGATACATCAAAGGTGAGGCAGGTGGGCAGCCTGCCCTAGACAGGTGGGCAGGTCAATGATTTGACCGGCCATGAGATGGCAACCCTGTCACTTGTACACATTCTCTTTATGTGAACAAGATGACTTGGGCAGGCCATCCAGTGCATGTGTGTGTGATGTAATTTATGTATACAATATCACTAGTGCTTTCCAGTCTTATAGCATGTCACTGCCCATTTGTGCAGAATATCTGAAAAAAGTTAGTGGTGAATTAATCGGTCTCTAACACCAGGTACATCTGTTTCTTTACCTCAGTTCACAGGGTCTTATGCTTTTAACTTTCCATACATCAAGATGGGACTACAGCCATTGAATTAGGAGTTATTTTCCTTTAGTTAGAGCAATTATTTTGAGAATAAAAATTATTTAAATTAGATGCAGTCAAAAAAATTTGACTGATAGTATTTCCTATATTTATATACAATATACCAATGCAGATAAGAGAATATAAGTAGTAACTAGTAGTAGAGCTCACTTAGATGGCTGCCTAGATAGATAGCTTCAATACTATAATAATATTAATATCATTGAAGCAATCTATCCTAGCCAGCCATCTAAGTAGGTTCATTTGACTAATAAGAAACGTAGCTAAGTGCGGCTCTGCAATATAGTTGTGGAAGACTGCTATAAAATACAGTTGGAAGAACCACATTAATATCTTTTTTTTATCTGAGTTTACTTGGCACAAGCTGTCAGAATGGATCAGCTCCATTCTGTACGTCACCTGCTATTTCTGCTTTTAACCCCCCAACTCCTAGAATTCAGTACCAGTTTCCTTTGGTGAAATGAGGTAGCTGTATATGTACAGGCAAAGTCTGACCCTCAGGCCAGATTGGGCCCATGGTGGACTCTATTTCCCAGCAGCCCTTGTGTCATCTGGCTGGTTTCCAAGAAGACCAGAGAAGCAGACCAGAAGACCAGAGGACCATGACAGCACAGGGCCAGGGTTTCCATGGAGACCGGCCCCAACAGTGCTGGCAGGGCATGCGGCTGAGCAGGGAGCTGCTCGGGGACCTGGATCATGTGGCAGTGAAGGCGTGTTCCGGAGTAGGGGCAGAGCTATGATCTACTGCCCACATGCCATGGGCAGGGTATGCAGGCAGTGGATTGTGGCTCTGCCCCAGCTCCAGACCACACTGCTACTGCCACAAGATCCCAGCCCTGGCCCTGGAGCAGCTCCCTGCCCAGATGTGCAGACTTCCTGTGCTGCTGGGACTGGTCTCCATGGAAACCCTGACCCCGTGCTGTCACAGCTGCAGCTACACGACCAGGGGCTGCTGGGATCTGGAGTACAGCCTCTGGCATGAGCTACCATTTTGCCCATCCCACAATTGTAGTCACTTTGTTAGTCTGTTTCAAAATTAATTGTACCTATTTGGCATATTCCAAAAAGGTGAATCAGCATAATGGATGTGTCATGCTACTAGAAGTCATAGGAAAATCACATGTAGATTTTCAGATTTTATTAAAGCTGAAATTACAAAAGTGGGGACAAAGCCATGGTTGTGATACTGTTTCCAATTAAATCAGAACTTCCAGAGACTTCAGAGGAACATCACATCCTAAAATTGCTTAGGACTGTAATATGCCACAGGGCTCATGTATGATGAATCACAAGTGACTGTTATTTAACTCTGTCCATTTTTCCTCAGAATAATTTTTTTATTATGTCTGCTTGGCTCAGGCAGAAGAAATATACCTTTGTGGAAATAACTATATGGTAATGTTTCACAGCTCTTGTCACCTAATATAGTACAGTGATTTATGTCATATAAATACCAATGATGGAAAGCTCTTGAATGCTAGTTCCTATTGTAGCTATGGGTCTGACTCTCCTTTATCTTACAATAGCTATGTTCCGAATCAAACATGCAGGTTGCCAATGATGTTACTTCGTTTCCTTGGTATTAAATTCTTTAAGCAGTTAATAGATCAGGACAGTAAAATGGAAATAGGAATATATGGGCCTGCCAATTTTGGCAGAGTGACTTAAAAACATCTTTATGGGTTTTTTTGGTTTTTTGTTTTACTCTGCATTAATCAAAGGCCTACCATATTAATTTATGTGTTTCTTCTACATATCTAATTCTTGTTAACTACTTGTGTGTTTTTGTCTCGTCTACCAGCACCAATTTAAGAATTATTATTCTTGGCTCATGCCACTTTTTTGATGAAATCAATGTGCCTCCATTTCCATGAAAAGAAGGAATTTGAATGAGAGGCAATAGAGAACTCCAGCTCCTAGTTACTTGCCAGTAACCATATCTCTGACTGTACTAAGGAAACCTTGCTTTGTGGAAATAAAATAAACTGCCTCTGCAGTATGGAATCTATGATGTACAGATCTTCCTGGTTCTTTTACCGGTTGATTATTAAAAAAAACAACACTTTGATATCTGCTGATCATTCAACATTCAACTAGTTTATGGCTATGGTTCACTTTAAAAAGTGCTTATAATGGACAACAACATACATAAGAATTATCTTTTCTCTGCAGATTCAGTTTTTATTCCTGCTTCTATTTCACCTCTTAGTAACTGTTACTAATTAAATGCAAATATACCCAGAGAGCATACACCCAGGCTTGCTACTAACCCTATCCTTAAGGTTCATTTTGGCTTGTTTTTTTTTTTAATCCTGCCTAAAATCTGATTTTGACATCCACCATGAGGTCTGACAACTAGACACTAATACCAAAATACTGACTTAGAAGTTGCAATAATCTGGTATGGAATCTGCAGATTAATTGACTCACTATAATATAATAAAAAAGAAACTCACTTTCCATACGGTCACATTATCATCCCAACTTTTTCCTCCCTTATAGAAATAAAATTAATGTAAGGACAGTGCCATGGTGCGGTAAAGTATTCCTTTCACATTTAAAAATGTAATATTGTTATTCCAGTGTATTAAAGAGTCAGAGAAGGATACATTTTGATAGGCAGGTAGTATGGCAACTCAGATAATGCAGCTATTAGAGAATGGCAAGAATGTATATGCTTAACTTGCAGTGAGATTTCCTTGTTTTCCCCTCAATAAATATAAAATCCCCCACTTATCACTGATTTATTCTCAGGTTTTTTAATAACAGACCCCAAGCGTTGGCAATAAATGTAGGATTTAGTACTGTTATGCCAAAACAATGAACAAAAAAACCACATAATTACTTTCACAAACTTTTCATTGCCCCATGTCCTTATGGCTAGGTATGATCCTAACAAATCTGGAAGCCATTATCCATTGAAAGAAAATGCAGATAGAAGGAAAAGTATCAGGGAACTAAAAGTGTTAAAGGAGGGGAGCTGAGTAACAAAAAGAACTTCTGTTTTGATGCAGCTGAGAACACTTGCAATTGTGATCCAATTAGACCTTTATTGTTTAATGACATTGAGCCTCCCAGATGCAAATGCAAATTTCTGCAGCTGTCAAACTAGTTACTCATCAACATAGTGAATTTTTGGCTCATGAAAGAACTGCAAATCTCTGTGTTTTTTAAACAAACCAGATTTGTTTATTGTCTTTATATGTTTGCCCTTCTTTCCCACCAGGTGTCACTCTGCCAACTTGAATGGTGTGTACTACAAAGGACCTTATACCGCAAAAACAGACAATGGAATTGTTTGGTACACATGGCGTGGGTGGTGGTATTCTCTGAAATCTGTTGTCATGAAGGTCAGACCAGCTGACTTTGAGCCCAATGTTGTTTAAGTATTTAGTTAAGATGATTTATCTAGTTAATCTTTTAGCAAATTAAGTCAACAGGCAGTTTTTTTTCTGATTTAAATCTGAGGTAATTTCATCCAAATCAGTGTTATTTAGATGCAAATGAGAGCAGAATCTGGGCGTAAGTCTGCAGATACAAAGACGTGTATTAATAAACAGATGGGATTTTTAAAAAGGCAGGGCAAACGTTCATCCAGGGTTCATGGCAGCTTCCATTGATGTAGAATCTGAAAGGTGGCAACAACTTCATCTCCCAAAAGGCACGATGAGGCCACAACATCAGGAGTGCTCAGGGAGGAGACATATTCCTATGACTTGCTAGTGAGGATGTTGTTGGAAAACACAGTAGGATTCAAAACTGCTCACAATGGCAGAACTGCTGATGGATGGCAGGAGTGGAACCACCACCTACCTGCACATCCTGAGAAGATGAGAGATCAGGCTGGTACCAGATGTCCAGCTTGTAGTTTCTTGTGCCAGCAGTAATGCCAATGGGGGTGTGCAGGGTGATTTGGCTCATGCCCTTTAGGATTTTTTCACTTGAGAATGATTTTTAATTACCTAAATCTTTGCACAACAGGTAGGAGATGTTGCAACATAGATCGACTGTATTGTTTTAAAAATCAAAGTATGAATATTATATACAAAGATTTGTGTTAACCTTAATATATATACAAACATGTGGGGAGGTTAGATCTCATTAAAAATGGCCACCCAATCTAATTGAGTTTGCCCAGGTGAGGACCTTACACTTAGATCCCTACTTAGGTTGATCTAAGTGCAAACTGCACAGAAATTCCAAACAGATCAGTCTAAAAATGGCCCACTGGATCTAAGTTAAGCGTACGTTCAAGATAGTCTAACTTAGATCAGATCCAGCAAGACCAATCTAACTGAACCTCTCTACAGTTCCCAGTGCAGCCCTAGGGCTGCAAAAGCCCAGCTGCTGGCCCCAGCCCTGGGGCTGCCCTTTCCCTACCTGTCCCCCCAGCACTAGGTTATTTTTAGCTCTCCTGATGCCTCCCCTCACCCCCAGATGGCCAGGTCCCCCCACCATTGGACCAGCCAACAGCCCCCGTCCCAGCCCAGCAACCTCCCATGCCAACTGAAGTAAGTCTGGGGGGTGAGAGGAAGGAGTGGGTGGGATGGGTGTGGCTGGTTTACTAGAGGGGGGTTGTTTGGAGGTGAGGGGAGTTGGGGGGCTAAAAATTTCCCCTGTTCTGGGAGCGTGACGGCAAGAGCACTCCCATCCTCCCAAGTCTCCCTGCAGACCCCCTGATCCCACCAACCCCTCACAGTGCCTCCCACAGACCCCACTTGCCCCCCACCCCGTTTCCCCCAATCCCTCCTACAGACCCTGCTTGCCCCTCCCCCTCCCCCCGCG